CTTGCGCAGAAGATAACATACAAACAAAACAAAACGAAAATCGTGGGCAAGTCACTCCAACGTACAATCACCTTTGATTGTATTGGTGTAATCACCTTTTCTTTGTTAAATTAAATGTAAACACAAAAACGTCACAATGTCTTGGAGACAACAGAGCATGACAGCCCACACAAAGAAGCAAGATAAAACAGGAGAAACAAGGGAGCAGGATACACACCAAAAACACATCTCTGAGCAGCATTGGAACTCCTTGATAAGGAATTCATAAGAATTATATTTAGGTATCTTTAACAAATTGAGAGACGGATCAAGGAAAGCACAGAGAAAACCCTAGAATAGTTTCAAAGGACAATACAAGAACAAGATGAAAAAATAAATGAAAAATTAGAAATTATACAAAATCTACACCCAGAAGTCCAGAAGATTAATACTAAATTTTCAGAAATAGATAAGGCATTGAATGGGCAAAGGAGCAGAATTGAATCAATGGAAGACAGAATTAGGCAGATTGAAGGCAAATACCTGAACACTTCTTTGGAAAGGGATCAATCAGAAAAAAGATCAAAACAAAATCAAGAAAGCCTAAGGTTCATGTGGGATACCATCAAAAGGAATAACCTACGTGTAATTGGAATTCCAGAACAGGAAGACACAAGTAAAACCACAGAGAAAATTGTCAGAGAATTTTCTTGGTATGATGAAAGATGAGAATATATCCATTCAGGAAGTCCAACAAATCCCAAACAGGATAGACACCCCCCAAAAATACACCCAGACATATCATCATCAAGCTTATCAAAGCCAAAGACAAAGAATCATGAGAGCAGCACGGAAAAAACGAAAAGTTACCTACAAGGGCCAACCAATAAGACTAAGCTCAGATTTCTCCACAGAAACCAAGTAGGCGAGAAGACAGTGGGATGGTATATATAAAACCCTGAAAGAGAAAAATTTCCGACCAAGAATTATGTACCCAGCAAAATTGTCCCTCAAATATGATGGTGAAATAAGGCCATTTCCAGATAAGCAGAAATTAAGGGTATTTGTTGAAACCAGACCAACCTTACAAAAGATGGTAAAAGGAGCCCTTTGGACAGAGAAGCAACAACAGCCACCAACAACTGACCATTAACACATATGATGATATAACCCAGAAACCAACCCAGCTATGGAAGTATCCAAAGTAAATAAGCCTACAACATTGTAAACAGGGAACCAGAGACATCAACTGACAAATGAGGACAACTACAAACCAAAAAGAAGGAAAAAACACAGAACTACAGAACTTCTAGATGGTAGGGAAGTCAAGACAACTACAAGAAAGAACAAACTTTCCTAAACTTGGGGAAAAAACTATAAATCACAGGGTAACCTCAAAGAAAAATGATAAACCTTCACATCAAAAAGAGGACCAGCATAAATATTCAGCAAATACTAAAACAGTAGCAATGAAGGAAGTGATAACAATTCATAAACAAAGTGAGTTCAGCATAGAAAATTATATGGAACAAAGAAATTGACACCACGAAAAATCACATAACAAAAATGACAGCAACAAATTCATATTTGCCGATAATTACATATCTGGCAAGGGACTTATCTCTAAGATTTATAGCGGAAGAGTGGATGACCAAACTGTGGTACATAATGGAATGCTATGTAGCACTAAAGAATAATGTAAAGTCAGAAATAGATAAGACATTGAAAGGGCAAAGGAGCAGAACTGAATCAATGGAGACAGAATTAGGCAGATTGAAGGCAAATACTTGAACACTTCTTTGGAAAGGAATCAGTCAGAAAAAAGATCAAAACAAAATGAAGAAAGCCTAAGGTTCATGTGGGATACCATCAAAACACGGCAAAATATGGATGAATGAACTTAGAGAACATTATGCCAAGTGAAATAAGTCAATCACAGAAGGACAAATATAGTATTAGTTGATTGTTGTGGAGGGTCAAGGAAAGGTTTATATATAGAGGGAAACTTTGTTGATTGCCAGGAGTGGGAGGGGAGAGGAGGGAACACTAGAAAAAAAAGTGCACTGACCCATGTCACTTTAGTTTTGTGTATTTCACTGTACATAAATTATATTTCAATAAAACATATTATTTAAAAAAGGAAATGATGACCATATGATTGGATAATAGAAGAAGGGCTGTGGTTTTAATACAGTGGCAGAGAACTTGTCTGAATTATGTTCAAATGGTTAGCGGAGGGTAGAACTTGTAAGTATGAACCTTGAATGCTTAGCTGAAGAGATTTCTAAGCAAGATCTTGAAGGGGTTGAATGGTTTCTCCCTGCCTCTTATAATGAAATGAGAGGAAAGAGATGGTCTTATAAATGAACTGTGCAAATTGAAAACAAAACTTAAAAATTTGGAAAATTTCACAAACTAAGGACACGTTTCCTTGAATTTTCACCAAGGACATGGCTACACAAACTTTTGTTAAAGAGATTACGGCTGTGACTGATGAATCTAACCAGCTACCACAGAAGAAGACCCATCAGTATAGACTGAAGGGGACGGAGAGAGTGACAAGAGAGAATGTGTCTGCCTCTAGAAATTCCGCAGGCAGGATACAGGCCAAAAGAGCTACATCTCTTGTCCTCCAAGAAAAGAAAAAACATCCATGGAGCAGTTTAGGTCAGTAAAACTGTTGGAAGGAGTGTGGGAAGCAGAACTATCTTGATCTCCAAAGGTGGGAACATGGCCTCTGGGGTTTCAGAGGGTGGAGCCCTGATCTCCTGGATCTCACAGGATGGGGCCATCGCTTCCTAGATTTCAAGAAGTCACATCTTTACCATGTCGACTCTGGCACATGAGGCTGCTCTTAAGATGTGCTGGGGATAGGGCTGCCATGCCCAAGGGGCAGAAGAACAGGGCCTGCCAGGGCCCACTCAAGGAGAGTGGGGCGGCTCAAAGTTGAGAGAGCAGAGTTGTGTCCAGTGAGCCTAGAAGGTGGAACTGGAGCCCAGAGCTGAGGGAACTCCACCTAGAATCTAGGGGGCATGGCCACCACCCAGAGTCATGGAGACAGGTAAAATTGGTGCCCATCAGAAGAACCCCTTCCTAGGACTGGAAATTAAAGGGAGCTGGTGAGTAGAGAGCCTGGTATGCTTGCCTGAAGTGACCACCTTTGCTTGATGAGTGGAAGTGAGGGAGGTGCAGCAATAGAGAGATGGGCTGAGTTTGGCTGGAGGATGGGGTTATTGTCCATATGATCTCTGAAAAAAGAGAATTTAATTTGTTCTTCTGGGGTTTAGACTTGCTTGCTGTCTGTTATCACTTTGCCTCCAATTTCTGCCATTTATAATGAAAATGTCTATCTTGTGGCCTGTTTCACCACTGTACTTTGGAAACAGGTAACTTGTAGTCTGTATTTCACAAGTCCACAGATTAAGAGGAATTTTGCCCCAGGATGAAATACACCTGAGTCTCACTCATACTTGATTTAGATGATGAGTTTTTGAACTTGGAGTTGATTTAAGAGTTTTGAGATGGTGTGATGGGGTGATGTGTTTTACATGTGGCAAGGACATGAATTTGGGGGTGCCACAGGGTAGAGTGTCATGGATTGAATTGTGTCCCCCCCCAAAATGTATGTCAACTTTGCTATGCCATGATTCCCAGTTTTGTGTAGTTGTCCTCCATTTTGTGATCTGATGTTGTTATTTGCCATTAAGTCGGACCCGACTCATAGTGACTCCTCCTTGGGTTTCCGAGGCAGTATCACTACGGAAGTAGATCGCCCAACCTTCCTTCTGAATGATCTAATGCAGTACTCTCATTTTGTGATATGTATGTAAATCTTAATCTCTATATGTTAGGCAGAATCAGCACAGGTTGTGTCTTGAATCACAAACTTTCAATGGGGTGCAACTCAAGTCCCATCCTTACTCAGTTAGGTCACACTCTTGCTTGAGTCACATCTTTTATTTTACAAGAGATGAAAGAGAATTGAGCAGAGAGGAAGGACCTGACTACTGCCAAGAAAGAAGAGCTGGGAGTGGAGCATGTCCTTAAGACCTGGGGTCCCTGCACAAGAATCTCCTAGATGCAGGGGGAAGATTGATGCCAAGACACATGGAAATCCCCAAGGAATGCTGGGCCCACAGATGTTGCAAGGAGATGAGGACCTTCCCCAAGAACCGACAGAGAGGGGAAGGCCTTCCTCTAGAACTGGTGCCCTGAATTTAGACATCTAGCTTCCTAAATTGAGAGAAAAACTTCTGTTTGTAAAAGGACCCTCTTGTATTTCTATTAGAGCAGCACTGGATAACTAAAACAACCAGGAATCATCATATCTGGCTTTTTGAGCCCTTCCTAGCTATGTGATCTTGCTTACATTATTGAACATTTTAAGCCTCAGATTCCTCATTTGTAAAGAGGGTTGGATTAGATATTCAGGGTTCTTTCCAGCCCTGAACATTGTTTTCTTTCTGTGTACAGTGTCAGGAATGAGAAAATGGGAGACCAGTTCATTTATCTTGTGGAAACTTGATAATAGAATTCATGGGGATAAAGCCTTATTTATTGTTATAATGCAGATAGTCCCAGATTTATGACATATTTGAGTTAGGATGAACCACACTTAGAACTGTCTTTTTATTTTATTTTTTTTTTTACATCTTATTGTCAATAATATGTACTACATAATAGTGTTGCAGAGTATAATTTGCTGATGTTATCCTTCTCAGATGTTCACTCACAGATGTTGGATGTTAGGATTTATGAATATACTGGTGATGAAAGGCAATAATAATGAGAACTGTAGAAAATGAGGCATTGGACCTACATCAGAACCAATTTACAACAGATTTGTCAGAACAGAACCCCTTGTAAGTCAAGGACTTGTATTTTTTCATCATTCTGAAATTGTAAGGGACTTTTTTCTTACCATATGCTCAGGTCTTTGGAATGACACCTATATAGTAGATATACCTAATCTAAGAGATAAAGGCTTTTGGTAATACATTTTTATTTCTCCTCTCTTTTAGTGTCCTGCTATAGACTACACTAGGCACACGCTTGATGGTGCTGCTTGTCTTCTGAATAGCAATAAATATTTTCCCAGCAGGTAAATAAAACTTAAATGTGGTATTAAACTTTTTGGATTTAATTTAAAAGATTGATATTTTAAAACTAAAACTAAGTTGCTGAATAATGTGTTGTATTCTTAAAAAACAATTTTATTTTTGCTGTTGTATATTTGGCTTGTTTAACATTGTTCAAGTTTTAAATTAGAGTTGTAGTTAAATTAAAGGGCAGCAGGATTTGACTTCCAAGGCTTAACGTACTGCCGTTGAGTTGAATCTGACTCATAGCGACCCCTCCTTGGGTTTTTGAGGTGGTGTCACTATGAAGTAGATTGCCCAACCTTCTTTCTGAGGAGTGGCAGGTGGGTTTGAACTGCCAGCCTTCTGGTTAGCAGTCAGGTGCCTTAGGCACTACGCTACCAGAGGTCCCTCCAAGGCTTTAGAGAACAGTTTTAGTAAGGCTGATCCCTGCTGCTGAGACACCTTCTCTGAGACTCTTCCTCTTGTGCGATAGAGTTGCTCAGTGACTCTCTGTGTAGTCAGCCTCCCCTTACAAAGCATGCCTACAGAGTAAACTTTCCTAAGTTGGGTCTGCTTATTTTTGAGGCATTCGTACAGATTTTTAAGATCTAGGAAGAAACCTGTGTATGTTATACTATATTATTGGTGAGGTTTGGAGAAATAGTCCAGACCCTTTTATTTTGTTTAGATATTTGTTATCAGATAGATGGATTTGGAGACTTATTTCCCCAACTATAATTAGCTCCAATATGAAATTTTTTTTTAAAAAAATACTAGTTTGCCTCAGTAACCTATGTATTTTTTTTTTTAAATACTAGAAATAGGCAATTTTTATTTCTTCAAAAATATAGGAAACTCTCAGTTATAACCAAACACCCTTAGTCATAACCAAACATGCTGGGCGTGGGGGCTCAGGACCATAGTCTTGGGAGACACTAAGGTCAGTTGGCATAACATAGTCCACAGAGACAATATTCTACACCCTACTGTGATTAGTAGTGACTAAGATCTTAAAAGCTGGTGAGTGGCCATCTAAGGTGCAACTCTATTAGTCTCTCTCTGTCTGGAACAAAGAAGAATGAAGAGTATCAAAGATGCAAGGAAACAATTGGTCCAGAAGGCTACTGGACCACATGGACCCCAGCCTCCACAACCCTGACACCCAAAGAACTAGATGGTACCTGGCTACCACCACTGACCACTCTGAAAGGGAGGTCTCAGATAGACTGGGAGGAAAATGTAGAATAAAACTCAAAATCATAAAAAGACCAGGCTTACTGGTCTCATAGAGATTGATGGAAACCCTGAGATTATGGCCCTTAGATACCTTTCAGGCCTGGAACTGAACTCACCCTGGTGTCTCAACTTTCAGTCAGAGGATAGACATGCCTGTAAGGTGAACAGTAATTCCAGGAAGGTATGCGCTCATTGGAACAGTCAACCATATCAGATCAAAAGGGCAGCATTTGTCTAGGGATAAAGCTAAGAATGGATAGGAAAGGACTAAGGCAGAAGGGAAGAAGTGGTGGGAATAGTGCTGTTACATTGTAGGGATTGCAATGAATGTCACAAAACAAAAACATATAAATTGTTGAATGGAAAACAGTTTGCTCTGAAAACTCACTCAAATCACAATAAAAACAGGAAAAAGAAATAAAGTAATCCAGTTCTATAGAATAAAACAATAATTCATTAGTTTTAATCACCACTAGTCATTAATTGGGAGCTCTGGTGGTGTAGTCCCTAAGGCATTTGACTGCTAACCGGAAGGCTGGTGGTTCAAATCCACGAGCCACTCCTTGGAAGGAAGGTTGAGCAATCTACTTCTGTAGTGATACTGCCTCAGAAACTCAAGGCGGAGTGGCTGTGAGTTGCAGTCGTCTCGATGGCAGTGGATTTGTTTTTTTTTTTTGGAGTGATTAATTCAAGTATGTACTCCCCCCCCCCTTTTTTTTAAGTTTTGAGTTAATCAGATTCATTTTAATATAATACTGCATTAAGCTTTAACAGAGTTTCAAAGCTCTAATAGTGAATTTAACTTAGGCACTGTGGTTAGAAAGAGCACCGGCCTGGGATTCCAGTCCTGTCACTGCCATTCACTAGCACTGTGACTTTGGGCTGGTCACTTAATTTCCTTAGGTTTCAGTTTCCATGTTTTTGAAATGAAAAGATTGGACTATATTCTTCCTAAGATTCTGTCCAGCTCTATGAATCTATTATTTCTTTTCCATTTCTAGGGTTAGCATAAAGGAATCATCTGTAGCAAAACTAGGATCAGTATGCCGTAGAATTTATAGAATATTTTCACATGCCTATTTTCATCACCGGCAGATATTTGATGAATATGAAGTAAGTATATTTCACTAATTATCCTTTGCATTCTTATCAGAATAACGATATATTTTTATATTATTCTTAGTTATTTTGGTTTTGGATAATAAAAATAACACTTTTTTCTTTCTCTTTACAGAATGAAACATTTTTGTGTCATCGATTTACCAAATTTGTGATGAAATACAATTTGATGTCCAAGGATAACCTGATTGTACCAATTTTAGAAGAGGAAGTACAGAATTCAGTTTCTGGGGAAAGTGAAGCATGAAGAGAATCAGAAAATTGTACTGGGCACATAAAAATTAACATTAATTATGTACTGTATATATATATATCATTTTAGACACATCAATCATGTACCCATATTACAGCTTTGTTTAGTATAGGTTTTTGTATGCTGTGTGTTGCCTTTTAAAATGGGAAATACTTTTTAAGTTATTCATGAACTGTATATTCACTGGTATGGCACTCATGTTTTTTAAATAAGATTAGTGTTATCTGTTTATAATGCCTGTTAATAAAAGAATTTACAGTTTGGTAAAATTGCTGCTAAACAATCATTGGGTCACAATCCTCATCAGATAAACTCATCTATAAAAAGATGAGTGAGCTTGAGGTTTCGCATAAGCCATTTACTAAAGAAATAGTAACATTTTCTTTGGTTTTACCCCTGAGTTGAGATATTCTAGAAAATTCTATAGTACATACATAGTTCAGTTTTAACTGTTAATTTTTCAGAAATTATATAAAAATACTTAAAAATTCTGTTTATATTTTTTGATATGCATATATAATTATGTGTATCTCTAACTATAAAAATGCCAATGAAATGTTAAGTTTTACTATGCTACAGAAGGGCATTCGTGGCCAGCATAATTTGGAAGGATTGACTTTCTTCAATAGTGGACTATGACGTATAAGATGATGATGATGATGATGAGGCACATAAAGAATGTTCCTACTGGAAACTCATCTGGCCTGCCCCTTCTCCTCAGTTTCCTTAATGCCCTTCCTAAGCCGTATTAGCTTAGAAGCTTTTCACCAAACTGTTATTTAGTGGTGGCTTATCCCTATTTATAGGTTTGTATTAATTGCTTACAGATTATACCTCATATTAGCAATTACATTACACTACGGGAAAAATATATTGGTATAGGCTGTTACTTTGTTTTGTAAAATTGTTCTAACTACTTGGAAAACAGTCTTTAAAATAGTTTAACTCTTACTGTTAGCAATATTAATCTTTTCATCTAACCATCTGGGCAGCATTTTAGGTAGAGTTGAAAAAATACTATTATATTTATTTTGCACTCCCTTCCCCACAGTTTGTGTGTGAATTATATGCACATTTTTGTGTCATCAGTAATTTTGCAATAATTCATAGGTCCCAAAGGTGTTGATGAATGGTCATATGATTTTTGAACTTTGTTATATATTCAGTGTCTTAAGAAAGCTTCAACTGCAGATTTAACAGTCTACTTATTGAATGCAGTTTTTAACAAAGCACTGGAGGTCTTATTGCCAAATTGATTGTACTAAGGTACTAAGGGTGGAAAATTGTACATATAGTGAAGAAAATACTGAAATCCATCTCTTGAACAGATTTAACAAGCATGGGAAACTTTTTCACTTAGAAAGGTTATGTTGAAATAAAGATGAAATGTATTCATATAATGTTTTGTTTTTCAAATTTGAGGAAATAATTTATACAATATTATGAGACAAGTGTGTGCAACAAAAATGTGGGAAGTAGCATACAGAGTATATATATATATATATATATATATATATATATATATAGTTTATGCTTTTCCAAGACTGCCAGTTCGTTTGGCTTTGAACAGTGCTATCCCAGCATCCAGTTATTACTGAGTCCCAAAGCACAACTATCTTTTAAGAAGTTTTATGTTCACATTGAAAGAACATTCATTTTTAAATTATGCATTTATATTTAATGTCACTATAGACCAAAAGGGATAGTAATTTTTAAATGAACTTGCTAAATATCGAGAGTAAACTACTAAGTTAATAAATTATAGCAGTGTAGCTGCTTGCTCTAGAAGGTGTTTCACAATGAATTCCTGTTGCTTGATTGTTGATTAAGATTTGAACTAAGGCAGTGGCTAGGATTGGTGATCTAGCTTAGTATTTTGAAACACATTTTGAATAATATGGTTTGGCATTAGTAGGGAAATAAATACGATTTTTCCCCCCTACTCATCCCATCTTCCCTGTACTGTTTGTTTGGAGTTGATCATAAAAAAAACTTCCCCAAAAGAAAACATCATTTTGTAGTCTTGCTTTTGTATTCATATTGACATCATTCATATTCATTTGCACTGTGAGGTAGATTTATTATACTAGGTAAGACTTAAATGAAACAGTTCCTATTTTTCCTTATGCTGTGTACAGAATTTTGAAAATGTATTTGTACATACCTTAGAGGTATTAAAAAAAATTAGCCTGGCAAACCACTGATGTATAAAGTAGGTGTTCTATGAAGGGGGAAATGTGATAGAGAAGTTAAGCTCCACTTTTTGCTGAAATTATCCTATATAAATTTGAAAGTTTAATTTTTTTCCTTTTCATAAAATTCTTTTGACCACAGAGTCAACCTTTTCTCTTACTGTATCAAGGAAAATGGCTTTTTCTAACTTAGGTTTCCATAAGTACCTCTAGTTCTTTTTTGTATATAGATTTCCTTTTCTCTGACTTGAAATGTTACTTTGTATTTCTGCATCAGTTTCTCAGTTAAATTCTTAATGACATAACAGTTTTTAATATCAGAATAAAATTTTAAAAATGATTACGTGTGGTAAGGTCTGTGTTGTGGTTATAAATACATTTACTGACTTTAATAGAAGAACTAATTATTTTTTCTCTTGGATACTTTACTCTCTATATGATGATGTATTTTTAGCCTAAGGGCTACCTATAATTTGAGAAGTTAAATTCTAAATTTTATGTAATTTATTTTGTGGCTATATCTTGAATGTGTGTCTTGGTTCTCTAGTACTGCTATAACAGATACCCCAAATGGATGACTTTAACACACTGGGATTTATTCTCTTACAGTTTAGGAGGCTAGAAGTTCAATTGAGGTCAGTGTGCTGGTTCTAGGGACTGGGTGAAGGCCCCTTGATCTTGGGCTGCAGCTCTGCCTCCTAGCACTGGCTTATTCCTCTGAGGCCAGACATACTGCCACTCTCCAACCTTTTTACCAATTCTGACACCAGCCTGCCTTCCCACGGCACTCACTTCTCTGCTGGGTTAGAAAATTTGTTGCAGTGGCCACACAGAACTCACAGACAATACTCATGATTACGGGGTTTATTAGGGAAATAACAGGCTACAGCTCAGAACTCGGATTCAGGAACATGCTCAGGACACAGTTCTTCAATCAGGTCAGTCTCTGCTCTGCTGTTCCCTCAGACATGCCTCTCTTGCCATTGGCCTTTTGGCCTGTCCCCTGCCCCGTTCAGGCAAGTGTTATAAAGCTCTTCTAGCTCTGTGGATAGATCCCCCTAGGTGCATACCACTCCACAGCGAGCCTCCTGCCCAAGGGCACTCGGCTTTCTCTTGGTGGGCCAGCCAGAATCACTGCTCTGTCTTCACCCCTTGGCTCCACTGTTGCCGTCCCTCAGCTGGGCGTCTCTGACTGCGCAGGGATCTTGATCCCAGGATGCGCTCCACTCCAACTCCAGCTCCAGCTCTTCCGTCTTGATGGCGGTGAGATTCTATCTCTGACTCTGCTGTTGTTATGTGCCGTGGAGTAGGACCCGACTTATACCGACCCCTCCTTGGGTTTCCGAGGCAGTATCACTACGGAAGTAGATTGCCCAACCTTCCTTCCGAGGAGTGGCTGGTGGGTTTGAACCACCAGCCTTCTGGTTAGCAGTCAAGTGCCTTAGGCACTATGCTACCAGAGCTCTTTCTCTGCCTCTAGGAAGGCTCTTTTAAGCCCAGCAGTATAGCAAAACTAACCAGTCCTCACAATAGAGTTCCATGCACCTTATTTACGTGGCCCCACGCAGTAATCTGGTGGGAGTTACAAAGACTGGATGGAAAAGCCATACCAATTAATTCACGGCACCGCACAAAGGTTTAGTTTGAATCTCACTGAAAAAGTGGAACTCGAGATCATTCTCTACTACCTCATCCTTGAATTGATCCATCGATAACTAAGTTTTTGGTTTGATTTAACCGGTTAATGCATAATTCTGGTCATTTTGTTCAGAGACCTAGCTTACCGACCAGTTTGTGAAATATGGAAGAAAATGAGGTGGAAGAATGTTTTCCACCCCCCGTGTCCCCCTACCCTTTGCACATCAGAAAATAAAGGGGAGTTTAAAACTACAAAATCCTGGGCTCCACTTTGGGAAACAGATTTAATTGGGAATAGAGAAGGTCTGAAGCTGAGTTGTAATAGGTTCCCAGGTGAGTGAGGTGCAGTCAGTGTTGCGAAACACTGGGAATCTCAGGGTAGGAGGTAAAAGGAACACTTCCAACCGGTACATAGTAATGTGGCCAGGGGTGGGTTGAGCCAGAACCAGCTAACAGTAGGCAAGGTCTTATTTGTGCTTATTTACTAATCTTTAGTAAAGTTTCACTGTGCGTAACTTGCTTACTGGGTCATCCATCCCTGATCTGCCAGTGTTTACCCCGGGGGAGAGAAATCTGGCAGTAGTAAAAAAATATTCACCTCTAAGACAAATTCCTAAGTGAAGGAGTAAGTTTGGAACATATATCTGCTTCTCTAGAAGACTACGCAGTGCAAAATGGCTCCTCAGCTGACCCCTTGCTTCTAACCAGCTCATTTGAGACATGTTGAATTATATAGTTGGATGGAATTCAAAAGCCTTGTTTTATAATAAAACTATAATACTTTCTGAGAGGCCCTTTAACCATAGCATTATCATGGAGGAATATGGCTAACATTCCTTTGTACTTTGGGTTTGAGGAAAATCAATTAAGTTCTAATAGGTTTGTAATGTTTTGGTTACTTACAAAGTGAGGGGGCTTCCACAGCACAATTTTCAAGAACGTTTGGGATGGAGATGGATAGGTAAGGAGGAGACTGTTTAGTATTTCTTTCTTTAATAAGTGACAGTATGGAGGCAAAGGCCCTGGTATGTTCGAGATTTGGCTCTACCAGTAACCCACCACCATGGCGAAGGAAGCCATTGCTGCAGGAGGGTGTAATGTACAGTACTTTACAAGAGGTGCAGAAGACAACCCACATGGAATTTGAGAAGCTGCCAAAGCCTTAGACAATTTAGTGTAGATCGGCCAGTTGAATTCAGTGCAAACAGCACTCACCTTGTTGGATGGGTATCAGCAAGTCCTTGTACCATTTGTACCTTGGCAATGCTGCACAATATTAATGTCTGAGCCCATCTCTGTGTGCTTGTATCCAACCATGATGAGCCTCATTAACATGTATGTCAAGTCAGCAGAGGCCCTTTGTGTTGAACGCAAATCACCCTGATTGAGGCTGATGACAAGAAACTAGGGAAGTGGGTAGTACTCTGCAAAACTGACAG